CACTGGTCTACTACCCTCAATATATGTTCCATGTATCTCAACCTAGATTTCGCGTAAGATCACTATGAGTATGCGATCGCACAGTTGTTGTTTGTTTATATTAACTAAAACCCATCACGTCATCTAAAAGGCTTTATGCTTTATGATGTGCTAACGAAGTGATGTGTAAAATCAAGATCTATTTAAAGATGTTTATACTTTATTGAACTTGCTGATAACCTTCAGTGATAGCGTTTTACACAGGATCTGTTGATAGTTTTTGTGATTAGTTTTTACCTCACAAGGAATATAGTTTGTTGGTAGTAATATATCAGTTGGCCAAGGCTGATTAGAAACTGCGATGATGCGGTTGAAAATCTTACATATTTTGTTGTAATATGTACCTTTTTCATTGTTATACATTATTTCATGAGGACTTTGACTATTGGTTTGAGGCAAGTAGGGAGGTGTAGACTACCTGATTGGACTCCTTGAGGCTCCGAGCATCAGTAGTTTGAGACTGTTGGGGATGTAGCTCAAAAACGTTCCCATTGACATGCAGATATATCCACCGTTTGTAGTCTTACATACCTATTAAGTCTTAATGTTTCTGAATGTAATTATTCTTTTCCTCGTGTATTTCTGCTCATTGAAATTTCTGTGCAAAGCTCTACTTTGAGACCCAGTCATTCATACATTAATTGATTTGCCTCTTTTCATCATCATCTGAGATTTCAGATGATTTCATCAACCGCATACATAAATTGTAACTCTCTGATAACTGCTGCCTTCATGCAGTGGTCTGGCTTGCATGCTGAAGTGACCCAACAAGCTGTACTGGCTGGAGCTTATGTTCCTGCAGGTCCTACCATGCCAGGAAGGTTTTTTGGATAGCCGTTAAACTAAAAGTAGCTACCTCTATGAGGGATATGGCCTCCAGAATCCAATGGTATCGAATGGCCTTTATTAATTACTGACAGTTATGGGAACTTACTTCCTGATGCTGCTCCTCTGCCTTGCGGATGAGACTCCAAGTCGAAGGCTAGGTGGGGGTGGTCTCTTGAGGCAACTATCTGCTTCAATTCAAGCACCAGGGTCAGTATCCCAGCCCTCACACTCACAATGAAATGGAACAACAAACCACGAGTAAATCTAATCAGACACTTATTCACTGATTTTCGTCATCTGGCGGTCAAACAAAAACTTGGCATCAGTCAATGAAATCCACAACAGTTGGTCTAAGCCACGTAGAAAGGTGTAGACTTCCAGGCTGGGGTCCTCGGGACGGTAAAAATCTATGGTTGGAAACAATTGGTGACATGGCTCAAAATCGTTCTCAGTGGCGCAGATGCATCCACTCCCTGTGACTTATGATCTTCAATGAAACTGTTTTGTATTTCTTTATTACTCCTTTGTCTCACACCTCTGCTCACTGTTTCTATTATGCTTTTCTTGTACTTTCTTCTCTTGCTTTGTGTGCTACATGGAGTGTGGTGACTTGAACTTCCGCACATTTGTGCAAAGTTCTATGTCGAAAGCAGACAGACAGACAGATCTGGAAACACCGACTTCGGTAGCTTGAGCAGGTGCTATGAATATCATTCCTGAGGTTTCCTTACCTGTCACTGTTCGCTAGCCCTGAGATAAGATGGAGAAAGCAGAGAGATCATCAGCCGCTTATGTGGCATCATGAGAAGAGATATTTATGCTAGGTTAGCATCAATTGTTACATCATGATCCTCTGATTAGGGTCAGAGAGAAAGCTCCAATCTGTGGCTCGAAACGCTGTCGAATATGGTCAAGAACTGCAATCAATCTTTCCTTTTCTGAGAGTAATACAACGAATGTTTTGCGGTCTTGTTAATTGTAGCTGCCTCCTTTCTAGATGAAGTCCTTAATTCATTCTCTCCCTTAATAAATGTGTAAAACTTGGGCACTGTGGTAGTAAGTAATTCCATATTAGTTTGTTTATTAGATGTATCTCACAGTCAGTAAAACAGTATTATTTACTGGATGACAAGGTTTCGAACACAATTTATTGCGGTTCATAATCATTTCATTAATTATAATCACACGACTTTGAAACTTGAGTTTTATGGTTTTCTTTGTCCTCTCCTATTTTATGTCGTAGGGGTAGTAGAATTTTCCAGATATCCGCCTGGACAGGTGTTGAATCATTCCTATTACATGTATTTGCAGTTGAGCAATCTCTCCCTCCACCCTGTGACATTAGATTTTAAGACTGTCATCCTATCCCATCCAGCCTATTGTATGGTTGTGTGTGTCTGTTTTCGACATAGAACTTTGCACATATGTGCGTCAGTTCAAGTCACCACACTCCATGTAGCACACAAAGCAAGAGAAGAAAGTACAAGAAAAGCATAATAGAGACAGTAAGCAGAGGTGTGAGACAAAGGAATAGTAGTAACGAAGAACTGTGTAGTTTCATTAGAAATCATAAGTCACAGGGAGTGGATGCATCTGCGCCACTGAGAACGATTTTGAGCCATGTCACCAATTGTTTCCAACCATTGGTTTTCATCGTCCCGAGGACCCCAACCAGTCAGTCAAGAAGTCTACAGCCAGGTGAGGGCTTACGGCGAGCTGTCATCTGAACTGATGACGACCAGTGGTGTCCGTCAAGGATGCCCATTATCTCCTTTTCTATTCAACTTCATCATAGATGTGTTAATGGACTTAATCCTAGGTGACTTCAGTGACTCAGGAATTGACTTGCTACCGGGGAATAATCTCATTGACTTGGAATATGCAGACGATATAGTCCTTCTTGGCGAAGACGCTGACGAAATGCAGAGTCTTCTAAACACCTTGAGCCGCAATCTACGAATGTTTGGCATGCGATTCGCTCCCGCCAAATGCAAGATGATGTTACAGGACTGGACTGCATCGACACCTAGTTTAAAAATAGGAAGTGAAGTGGTAGAGCACGTTGACCGCTTCACTTATTTGGGAAGTACCATCAGCCAGTGCCAACGGGCTGATCTCTGACGAAATCTCAGCACGAATACAAGGGGCTCGTTTCGCATTTGTTAGTTTACGCCGACTCTGGCGTAGACGAGATGTTCGACTATCGACCAAAGGGCGGGTGTACTGCTCATCAGTCCGCTCCGTCCTCCTTTATTGCTCGCTGTGAGACCTGGTCACTGAGAGTGGAAGACATGAAAAGATTAGCTGTCTTTGATCATAGGTGCCTGCGCTCTATTTCCCGTGTGAAGTAGCATAATAAAGTGAGCAACATAGAGGTTAGGCGTAGAGTTCTAGGTAAACAGGGGAAATCAATCGACGAAGTTGTGAAGCTACATCGACTGAGATGGTTAGGACATGTGTTACGTATGCCTAGCCAGTCATCGCCTTCCTCGACGAGCAATGTTAGCGGATATAGGGTCAGGCTGGAAAAAAGCTAGCGGCGGTCAAACAAAAACTTGGCATCAGTCAATGAAATCCACAACAGTTGGTCTAAGCCACGTAGAAAGGTGTAGACTTCCAGGCTGGGGTCCTCGGGACGGTAAAAATCTATGGTTGGAAACAATTGGTGACATGGCTCAAAGTGATCGTTCTTGGTGGCGCAGATGCAGCCACTCCCTGTGACTTATGATCTTCAATGAAACTGTTTTGTATTTCTTTATTACTCCTTTGTCTCACACCTCTGCTCACTGTTTCTATTATGCTTTTCTTGTACTTTCTTCTCTTGCTTCGCGTGCTACACGGAATGTGGCGACTTGAACTTCCGCACATTTGTGCAAAGTTCTATGTCGAAAACAGACAGACAGACAGACATCTTCCTAGGTGGCTTAGACTAACTGTTGTAGATTTCATTGACTGGTGCCATGTGTGGGCTTGACCGCCGCTAGCTCTTTTCCAGCCTGTCTTTATATCAAGCTAACATTGCCCATTGTCGAGGAAGGCGATGACTAGGCGTGCGTAACACATGTCCTAACCATCACAGTCTGTGTAATTTCACAGACTCGTTGATTGATTTCCTCTCCCTACCTAGCACTCGACCGAAGCCTAACGTCAATATTGCTCACCTTATTATACCACTTCACACGGGAGATAGAACGCAGGCACCTATGATCAAAGACAGCTAATCTTTTCATGTCTTCCACTCTCAGTGGCCAGGTCTCGCTCACAACCATAAAGGAGGACGGAGCGGACTGATGAGCAGTACACCCACCCTTTGGTCAATAGTTAGCCGGATATCACGTCTACTAAGCCGGAGACGGCGTAAACTGGCATATGCGAAACTAGCCGTCTGTATCCGTGGTGAGATTTCGTCAGAGATCAACGCGTTGGCGTTGGGGCTGATGGTACTTCCCAAATAAGTGAAGTGGTCAACGTGCTCTACCAATTCACTTCCTATTTTTAAACTAGGTGTCGATGTAGTCCAGTCCTGTAACATCATCTTGCATTTGGCGGGAGCGAATCGCATGCCATCATATACGTCTGAGTTCATCGGTTGAAATGGACAGGACATGTGTTACACAAGCCTAGCTGTCATCTTGAGGCAGAATGTCAGCTGACGCAGCATCAGGTTGGAAAAGAATTTGTTGTGGTCAAACAAAAACATGAAACCCGTATCAGTTAGTTTAAGCCAGTCACTCAGTGAAGTGCAGACTTCCTAACTGGCTGGTTGGGGTCCACGCGATGGTGAAAACCAATGAATGGCGTAGATGCATTCATTCGCTCTGTGTGATTTGTCATATCCAGTAAAACTCTACTATTCTCCCACTGTACTACTATTCTTTTTACCTCATTCACACTTCTGTTTATTGTCTGTCTTTTGAGTCTCTCTTTAGTGTCTTCTGTTGGTTTGTGTGGTACATGGAGGAAGAGTGGCAACTCGAACTACTGCACATCTGTGCAAAGTTCTATGTTGAAACAATTCAGTCAGTCAGTTTATGAATTAATTTTGCTGTTAATTTGATATAAAAAAATAATTGAAAAAAAATAATAACAAAATAAATGTTATCTTATTTGTTTAAAAAATTATTTTGAAATAGGCATGCCAGTTCACTTTGAGAATTTCCAATATTTCTCAAAGTTTCTATTCATCTTCCTGTTAACATTTACACCTCAATCATCCTATGCTCAAATTGAAGGCATCTATTGTGGCAAAGAAATTTGTTATGATGGTAAGTTTCTGTTAAGGTCACTTTGTTATATCTCAACACTTTTCCTTTAATGCTTTACTCACTATGAAAGTATGATCAGTTATAAGGTTTAACTAATTCCAGTATGTATTTCTCCTTAATCGATTATTATTGAACCTAATTGTTTGGTCTCTGATAACACGTTGGGTCGTAGAATGGATGGTTCAAATGATGTCTGTGGATTAACGATATTGTCCTTTGGTTGGACAGCGACTAGTGTCATGCGTCTAGTACTTTGTTTACTACCGACTGAATTCTTATATTATTATTATTATATTATTATATCCTTTAATTCCTAGAGGAACATAGAGCTTCAACTGCGCATCTCCCTTGCCTTCTGTTTTCTGTCAACTTTTTCACCCCGCTCCATGTGTACCCACATACTTTCATCTCCTCTTCACATGACCTCCTCCAAGTCACCCCATCCTCGCACTGACGACCACCTCGCCGCTTCCCTTTCGGCCTGGTTCCACTCGAGCAATGGCTTGTCTAGTGATGTCACTTGATGGTTTGATTTCTCAGAGTATGGCCAATCCATCTCCATTCCTTCCTGCCTATTTGTTTCACAATCGGTTCCTGGTTGGTTCGCTCATTGCCAGAGACCCCTGTTGCTGATCTTTTCTGGCCGGCCATCTGATCTTGAGCGGTATTGAGCGAAGACAACTGTTAAAGAAGGTCTGAAGTTTGTTTGAGATGCTCTTTATGACTCACTGGCCAAGTCTCTTATCCGTCTAGTAGCACTGACTGACTTCTTATTGGAGTTAAAAATCCGGATCTTATTTTCATTTCCATGTTGAATGCTGTTGACCTCCACACAAACTTGAGAGTAATGAAAGCTTTTCTTGCTTTTCTGATTCTGGCTTTGATATCCTCGTCAGTTTCATCCGCCTGTAGTTGAAACGATGCTTCCCAGGTAGGTAGGTAAAGGAGGTTTTTTCCTTCAGGTTCCTCCCATCTATGCTGATTGTTGTCTGTTGTTGGTGTTGACCAGGAATCTCCACAACCTCTGTTTTACCTATGTTCACCTGAAGTTCTATCTTCTCTGGATGCTTGTTCTGCCAGCTTGTTGCTTTTGACTTGCATGTCTTCCAGTTTGTGGGAAATCAGAAGTCAGTTGACAGACTGAATTCTATCATCAGTCAATAATAATAATAATAGCTTTACTCCAAACAGTATTTGTAGTACAGGTATGGAATTTTCAGCGTGCATTACAATATTACATCTAATTACCTCATAAATTTTATAAGATTTTTAAAATCAGAAAGCAACACCCAAGAAAAGAAGATAAATAAAAATAACAGCGTTGCGTTTACATTTTAAACGATGCACCACAGGATATGAAATATAAAATTAGCGTGTAATAAAAGATGTTGAACAACAATATAACAGTAACGAAGAAAGCAAAACAAAAACTAATGGGACTATTTGTTGGATTGCCACAGTAAGTTGACCGTGTTATACCCAACGGATTTCTCATCACATAACAGCTGTGCCAGATATGGTATTGTGGAGTTTTTGTATTTGGTAGTCCTAGCATATAGCCTCCTTCCTATAGCTCTGCTTCTAGCTCTACCAGATGAAATGCAAGGAGACAGCTGCGTATAGAGAGGATTCTCGGGGTCTGACAATATTGTATTCGCTAGTTTCTTACATGATATAATATGTCTATCCACACTAGTGTTAACCAGTTGGTTTAACGATATCCCACTTGCCCTACTAACGGCTTTTAGTGCCTACCCTTCTCAGCAAAGCAAAGTCTTTCTTAAGTAGTTCAGGAAAGATTAGTGGGGAGATGTAAAGAGGGATGGGTAGAATACAAGAATTGACAAATTGAGAAAGCGAAGACTGCTTTATACCCGACTGCCTAAACTTCCTGACGTAGAATGCTAAGCGAAACATCTTTCTAGTAACTAGGAAGATGTGAGAGGACCAGGAAAGATCGGTGGAAAAACTCAGCCCAAGGTACTTATCATTAGATGTATTTTCAACCTCTGTGCCGTCAATGATAGTGGGGCCATGTGAGCTAACTAGTTGCTGTAGGTCACGTTTACGTCTGAAAGTGAAAGTGACTACCTGACATTTAGACGGATTTAGCTTAAGACCGTTTGAAGAGGACCACTGACTAATTTCCGACAGAAAGTTATTTAATGTGGAACAATCTGACTGAGAGTTGACAGGCATAGACACAGAGAGGTCATCAGCGCTTCAAGTTTGCAATGTGGCCACCATCATGCTAGACGGTGGTTGTCCATCACGATGAACTCAGATGTGTTGCCATTAAATGTCTAAAGGCGATCGGCAGAAAGTCTTGAGCTTAGGTTTCTTGCTTATTGGTACACTTCTCTGACATGGGTTCGAATCTCCGAAGAGAAAGGAGTCCCTTGAATGTGATCACAGATATACCTTACTGACTGACTGGGGACTATCAACAAGAACGAAACCTAGGTCAAGTAGGGTTTCCTGCCGATTGTCTTCAACCATTTAATGACAACAATATTGTGACTTTTGGTGAATGGTCAATCTGGCAGTAGAATACAGGATGCTATTTGAGACTGATCACTAATCGAAAATGCAGGTACGCCTAGTTGATGAGTTCAAAATAGGACGAAACATGCACCCTGGATTCCATCGCTAGTCACCATACATCAAATGACAACAGATAACTGTTGTTCGGAGCACAGCTAGCGATTAAATGTCATTGTCAAAAGTCAACTCAAATCAAGTTTCTAAAAGTGCATACGTCGATGTGAAAATTCACCGCTGTTTTCTTTTTGTTAACCCAAAAAACCTATTCAGATCACACACACACACAATGTGTTGTATGTCTACTTGATACTACTAATGGCAGTTGAATAAGTAAGCGATATAACATGGTGGTATACAACTACTCATATACAAATCAGTAGTAGTATGTCACCAACGGAGCTGTTTTGATTGCTTGCTTGCTTCCTTGATTGTCATTCACCATTGTATCAAGTAGATCACCTTCTGTGATCTGATTACTGCTGGTTTTAAAAGAAAAAAAATTAATTCCGCAGTGAATGATAATTTCCCAGATGACGAGTCCCAAATAGGACGAAATGCGCATCCTGGTGGAGTCCACTGCTACTAGTCACCATCCACCAACTAACTTTTAATTACATATCTAGACATCGTCGAAGCATACGCACAAGAAGCCGATAGACATGTCAACCTGAAACCGAGTACTTCATTCCAATCAATCGATGGGAAAATCTAAAATTGTGAATGAAATATAGTTTTGTAATTTTGACAGACAGGCAACAGACCCATAGCTATCCCATCTAATTCTGTAGACATATTTTTATTATTATTGATTGAGAATTGGATATTTAGAGTGCAAGTGAATCCATAGCTACTCCAGATAGACTCACCTTCTATCCATCAACACGTACACTATTTTGATGTGGTTGTGTTCTCTGAGCTGGATGTTTGATTTGCGAAGCTTTCATCACCCTACTAGGTGACATCTTCAGCGCATACTTCAATTTGTTGAAGTGAGCTCTTAGATTTCTCCACGAGTTCATTAATTATCTCTCCTGGTGACCACCCCGGACGTGATTGGTTGTCTTTGTGTGTTTTCACACCTTTTAGGTTACTTGTATTAGAACTGACTGTTTCTTTGACTTGAACTTTGACCCTTTGTGTGTGTGTGTGTGTGTGTGAGGTTTCCTTCTGATCGGTTAGTAGCTTTTGTCTATCTCGATGTGTCTATTGATTGATGATTCACTGGAATACCAGATAGGCTTCTAAAAATTCTCTAGCATTCTTGTTGTTTCCTCTGTCTAATATTTGAACGTTGGTTGTCCCAGTCGAATTGATGTCTGTGGTTGTCTGTATGTAGTGATATGAGGGAATGGATGTAATGTCTTTTGACGGCTACCTTATGATCGTGGATACGAAGACGAAGAGCAGGGTCGTCCACTTTGGCCAATGTAGTGTTTGTCGCAGTTGTTACAATTTATTTTGTAGATGGTGTTGGTTTTATCTTCTTTCGCTCGCTGTTGAGTCTTTTGGTTGACATAGAGCCAGCTGAGTGGAGTGACTTTGTTGTTTTGTGTACGACGTCAATTCCTAAAGGTTTGAAGAGTCTTGTTTGCGGTGATTTCTGAGATATCCTTTATATATGGTAAGGCGATTTTCTTTGTGCTTTCCTTGGTTGGGGGTTTTGGTTTGATAGATTGGCTTGAGGGTATATGTCTTTTGATGAAATTCCGTGGGTATCCATCAATTCTTATGGAAGACGTCCATGAGATATTTTTCTTCAATTTTCTTTAAGGTGGGGGTATTGAAAGGTAGGGTGATGAAAGTGTTATGTAGTGCTGCTGAGTGAGTTATTAGAGTTTTCCCCGTCGCCAATTATGTTATGTACTGCTCGTCGAGTAGTTAATAGTCCTGACGTGGAAAGAGGCAAATCAGAAGACCACCAGGTTTACGATGATACTTGTATTTTCCAGACAAGGAAAATAAATGTCACACAAGAGTGTGAGTGAAATGGTACTTGTGTACGGAAAAGTGTGTGAACCAAAATAATGTACAAGTGTCTAATACAAAAGTATATATGAAAATGGCTAATACACATGAACCAATAAGATAATGTCTTATCATGATTGGTTGTCATGTCATGTGATAACAAGGTCATCCATGTTTATTTAGTTAGTGGACAGACAAAAGCATAATGTCAGTTATAATGAAATATCGATCCATAAATACATAGCAAAATATAATAGACTGTCAAAAACAAAACACACACATCATGTGGATACATATCAGAAAGCTTTGCAAATCAAACATCCAGCTCAGACAACACAACCCCATCAAAATCATCCACCTGAGCTACAAATCTTCTCTGTCATGTCTACACACACACACACTATATATATATATAATACACTCTTGGTGCTTGTAAATATAAGTGAATTAGTATTATTATTTTAAGTTCATTGATATTGACCTTAATAAAT